TGAGATTTGAGCCTTCAAAGTGAGCGGACTCTACATTTTACTCCGATGTAGTAATAGTTTGAAACCTTGTCTACAACTGTGCTACCTCAACTGATAAGTTTGTTAACAGAAATGACGACAAAAAATTAAACATTGACAGCTGACTGCGCCTACTTATCCCGTAGATGGGGTCGGTTGACGCACCACATGGGGTACGTTGGCTCATAATAACTGCATAATAAAAATCAAATGATAAACTGAAATATTGATTTATTTAAAAAAAAACATTTTTGGGAGTTGTTACCAATGGCTAAGCCTCTTTAACAATTCCTGGAATGTCATAAAAGACATACTTTTGCCTGGATTTTTGGTAATCCAAGCATCTGAGACACTACTAAGGTACTTTTTGAACGGGCAAAATACACCTTAGTCTAGCGGTTGCAGCTTATGGGAGGTGTATGGCGGGAACGACAACATTGTAACTTCATTTTCTCTACATAAGTTTAGTGCAGTTATGGATAAGTGGGAGCTATGGTTATCGAGTAACAATAACACTGGTTTGTCCCTGGAACACTTTGTGAACTGGATGAAATGCTTTATAAATTCGACAAAATGTGGTTCTTTCATCCACCCAGAAGGATTTCAAGCTCCTTTTCGTGCAACTACCTTGTCTGGTTTCTGTGTGCTGGTAACCTTCGGTGTCGCATTTTTATTAGTTAACAGTTTTTCTCGTCTAATTGCTAGGCAACAGATTTTCATTACCTAAACAACCCAATTACTCGGTAAAATACAAACCTCTTGTGCAATTATAAGTGAAAATGTGGTATCATGCGACATTGATCTTCATGCAGGTTTCCATAGATGATGAAAAACTATGTTGGTATGCACATTTTCACATTTAAATCATTAATGGGAGTCGGAATTCTTTTAGGTAACGGTTTGCGTAAAACCATAGATTTAATACAGATTCCAAAAAAAAAAGTATTGTAAGTAATTCAAAGTGGCAACGCTTGAATGATTTTCACTTGAAGTATCCTCATTAAAAAAAATCATTGGTAATTCAAAAGGATAAATTTTGTTAAAGGATAGGTACTTAATCTAGATCAAATATTACACAATGCTTTTATTGTATTCCGAATATGTGACAGATTTTAATTACTTTTTTACGTACTTTGTTGATCTCCCTGTCTGCAGATGACGTGTTTTTGTCAGATTTGATTAAAAACCCTATTATACTGAAAAATGTGCTATAACGTTAACTTTGAAGTTGAGGTCAGTTTACATCAAATTTATTATTGCGATTAATAATTTTGTTGATACTGCTGTTAGAAGTTCAGGGATTAAATTGAAAATGAGAGCATGAAACAATAATACTGTGCAGGGAATTCTTAACCAGATTTCAGTGTACGTTATTACTAAGCTGTTGCACTACACAACATGTGAATGTTGCATATTAATTTTCTCCATTATGTACGTTGAGAAATTGAATTTGCGTCGCAATAAAGTCCTTAATAATCTGACTACTAAGGTATGCCTCAGAATTGCTTTGTGGTCACTTACAACTTTTAGTATTCAGATATGATATTTCACCTTTTGGAGTTCAAATTTCCTAATTGCCAATATACGTTTCTGAAAGATCAAACACACTTTAGCAAACTTTCCAATTTAAGTTTTTAGAGTTAAAAGTTACCACAAGTAGAATTCAAATCAGTTCGGTAAGTATTTTAAGAACTTTTTTTTTAATCGTGCTGCTAATCCCCCTGGATTTTATGCACTGTTATAAATTACATATAGTTGTTTGAGCGATAACGTGTTAATTAACGAAATTAACTTCGGATTACTCTGGTTTATACGACTAATTACATATCGAACGTGTAAACATACCTTCCAGTTATTTTAGGACCGTTCGTAATGTGACACGATCATCCTTACTAGATCGCGTTTAGTAGTGTGGCGCAAACTGCGCGCTTTTACATTAAGTACAAAACTAAACGATAGACTGGTTAAAATAAACCACAATTCATATGAAACGTGGATGAATCTTCTTCAAGAACCATAGTAGGATCCGGAAGGGGCAACATTACTGTTCTAATGGTCGCAAACCCCGCGGAACATAAAGCTCCCCTCTTAATAATATACGAAGGGAAAAATATTTGGGATGGATGGGTTGCTCCTGAGGGTAAATACTGTCCTGGAACTACGTACGCAGCGACAGCCAATGGGTGGATGGAGTCTAACCAGTATGTTGGTCGAAATTCAATGAATTTATCGTTGCTGTTATGCGATCGATTTCGGCCTAAATGGTAATCATCAGGCATAGCTAAAACACCTCTAATTGTATAATGTAATTTTGAAATAATTTATAATTACCGTCATATAATAAAATTGGGATAAGAATATGGATATTTTTGCATTTGTTATAAGTACAACGAAGTGCGTCTGAAATTAAATACATTATTAGTAAGTGTACCAGCAAAGAGATTTAATTTATTCTTACAATTGTAGTGAAATACATGGAAATGGAAGGAAAATATGTGACAGGAAACACGAGTTTAGCTAAATTGAGGTTCTGTAGAAAGGTGAGTATTGTAATATTTAGGCAGTGTCGTGCTGTAACAGAGATAGTGGATTGTCAGTGGCGTAGTAGGAATGATCTATTTTATGGGGCATGGGTATGAGAATGGTGGTAGGAACTTGTATATGTGATTTTCTGTGAAATTAGTGATTTCATTTAAAATAGTAGTTTGATTGAAGTCTTCCTTTCTCTATTTCTAGTTGTTCTAGGATTATCAGTTTTTTAAAATTGTTGTTTTGGTGTACTAATGTGGTGTTGTCGAAACTAACTTTGGGTTTGCATTCAATCGTGTGTGAACCAATGGTGGATTTTGGGTTGTTCTTTTGGTGTTCTTTGAATCGTGTTTTTAATGTACGGCATGTCATGCCTATATAATACTCTTCACAGTTGTCGCAGTTAATTTTATAAACACCTGATTTATCTTTGTTGTCAGTGGGGGGAGTATGGTTTCTTAGGATATTACTTCACTTCAAAATCATATCCAACCTTACAAAATATCCTAAGAAACCATAATCCCCCCATTGACAACATGATGAACGCATTTTCGCAGCCGGCAGTCCAGTTAAACTTGAAGTTCTTCTTTAGTAAGCCCGCGAGAGGGAAAATGAGTGAAGAAAAGTTTGTTTTGAAACGTCTGCACCAAGAACTCATGTCGGTCATTCTTCAGGGACTGTTGTCGGAACTGTAATCTGCAGTATGGCTCCCACTTTGCCTGGGTCTACCAATGTTGAACTCAAGCGTTTTTGAGTATTTTATTTTTAATTTCAAACTGACATAACATTACAAGCCTACTATTACAACTATTCGTGCTTGCCTTTTTAACATTAAACATAAATATAAATATCTATCAAAATATGACTAAACAACCAATAAACATTGAGCATTGACTACATAGCCTAAGTACCGTAACTCACTCTTACAAAAAATGCATTTTCCGGACCAAACCTGTTTCGGTAATGCGGTGAATGACTTCCTTTGGGCAGAACTCAAGGGGTTGTTTTATTTCTTTATGTATTTTTTAATATTCACAGGTAGGTGTTCCTATAACTAAATATATCTTACATAAGTCAAATTTTCAATTAGTTTTTGAAAAATAGGGTGGTACAAATACTTACCAAAGAACGTTCCTGAAAAAAAATTACAGTGCGTGTTGAGTGGTGGTACAAATATGAACCACCTCTTTGTTAATGACAATAACTAGTAGAAAAACTATTTATTATTTATAAAATAGAACTCAATACATATTTGTACTTAAAAAACTAAACAAAGTTCTTAGCAGTTGTAAATGGTTACTAAAAATGGCGATTTGGGTAATAAAGAACTAAAATATAAACTGAATAAGTCAATTCGTATGAAAAGGAATAAAACATTTTAGACATAATGCAACATTACAATCAGAACAAATTATGTTGGATCTTTGCTGCTGTTTTCGAGTGTTGTAGTGACAGCAGCGTCGACGCGATCCTTGCATGGGAAGATGTTTTCCAACATTGGTCAATCTCTGAGCGTTATATAATTTAGGCCTTCCTTGTGGATTGTTTCTTTTCTTTGAACGTCCAGATAAGAATTTGGGCCTGGTTTGATTCTGCTACAAAATGTTCCTATAAGTTCAGATGCCAAATAGGATCTGAAGTTTAGGTGGGTCATTGGTTTTACTTTATTTCTGGCTGTCTGTGACAAGGTTGTTTTACGATTTACGATGCAAGAATCCATGCAGTAGTAAAAAATTCTTAACCACCACCGTCTACTTTTCCATGAGATACTATATCCAGATAATAATTGGTCGAAATGGTCCACTCCACCCATATACTTGTTGTAGTCTGCCACAGATTCTGGACAATTCACTAGTTCCCTATTTCCCGTCTTCTGTGTTCTTAGTACTTTGGCAGTTTTGAGTGGGTTGTGTATTGTGCTAAGGACACTGACACATTTTTTACCTCGATCTTTCCATTTGGAAACGGCAACATTCCCGTCAATAACTCCATCACATTCTCCACTTTTCATACTCTTATCTGCTTTCAAACATTCCTTAGGAAAAAATTTTCTTGTTTGTCGTATAGTTGCACAAATGAAAAAGTTCTTGCGCAAAAGTTTTCTGGCCATTATTATAGATGAAAAAAAATTATCAAAGAAAAGGCAGTAACCAAAACCTTCTACAAAAGCTGATAATTTGTTTATAACTCTCTCACCAAGAGATGTACCTTTATCAACATTTGGTTCTGCTCCTTCGTATACGGCAATTCCCAAGCAGTACCCTGTAACAGCACATGCTACTACCCAAACTTTGAAACCCCGTTTGATGGGTTTCATGGGCATGTACTGTTTCAGAGTACTGCGGCCCTTGAACTTGACCATAGATTCATCTATGGAGAGATATCTTGATGGATTAAAAATGATTTTGAACCTTTTGTCCACATAATCCAAAAAAGGTCGTATTTTGTGTAATTTATCATACCCGTTTTCTTTTTTTTGCCATGGTTTCATTATCATTTAGATGCAGCATACGGGTTATCTTTAAAAACCGTTTTAGAGTCATGATGCTTTGAACACGTTGAACACCAAAATTACTTTCCTTACTCCAGTAATGTCTAATGCTGGGAAGTGTATGAAAACCCATTATTATTAGTATACCTAAGTAGGCTTTCAATTCATCTAATGTCAATCCTAACACTGTACCTCTTTGTATGGCGTACAAGTTAGACTGGTCAACAATATACTGCAGGAATAAATTTGTCATTACATTGAGGAAAATGCTTAGTGGACTTGTAATATCAAACTGGGCTTTCTTAGATATTCCGAAAGGTCTGTCAAATGTACTTCCTTGAAACATGGGCGGTTTTGCTGAAATTTTTTGCCAATCAAAAGTTTCATCATCAGCAGAAAGACAACCTTCACTTGACTCACTATCTTCATTATCACTGTCTTCAAATTGATTGCTGAATGAAGTTGAAGTACTTGGAGCAATTGAACATCTGGACGAAGGAATATTATCGTCAGCATCATCATCACCTCCAACATCAGAGTCTACAGCCATATCGTCGTTGATTGTAGAGAGCAAAAATTCAACATCTCGAGGATTTGATAAATTATAAAACTTTTTCGTGTCCATCTAAAAATTAATTAACTGGTATAAATTCACAACTAATAAATGTAAGTACCATATTATATTATTACTAAAATACGCGAATATAGTAGACAAATTTGCAAGAAAAAATCATTAACAAATTTTCAGTTAGTTCACAGAGGTACATATTTGTACCACATTTTTTTTCACGAAATATTATCTAAGCCAATAGATAAATTGCCAATCCAACTCAAGGTTTATTCTCACAGTGTCTCTATTGGGAGGTACACCACTGATCTGAATTTTGAAACATTTATAATACGAAGCTTGTGACTATTTTATATCCAGCAAATTTATGAGAAATATAACCTAAAATACAGTTTATACAAACTATTCTAGATAAAGCAGATACATTCTAGATATAATCCGAAAAACTAACTGGTAAAGTATTTGGCTCATATGTACATAGCTTTTATTGTCACTATTCCACTATTTAGATCCAAACTATTAAAAAAAACACCTTCCCGCTAAAATTTGTTGACAGAACGCGCACTGGTTCACATATTGTACCACATATTGAGCCTACTACAGGTTTATTGCACTAGACGGCAGCACCTCCCAAATGTGGTATAAGTATGTGCCAATAACCGTTTACTGAGCAGGTAAGGACCATAAGGTCGAACGTTAATGGCGTTTTTGTAGAAATGTAGCCCGTAAATGCAAGTGGTACAAATATGAACCACAAAAGTAGAACCTGACACTTTGCCGCCATCTTGGATTTTATTCGCGGGTCAATCAAGGTCAATTAAATTGATTCGCGGGTTCGCCACGTGGGCGGGTGGTTTTTTCGGGGAAATTTGATTAATTTCTTGGAATTTGGGTTTAATTAATTAAAATTTTGTAGGATTTTGGTCTTTATTGGCATTTGATTTGATTGATGACGTCATCAATTAAATTGATTACTGTGGATTAATTTAATTTGTGGTTTGATTGATCTAATTAATTTAATTCGCGGTTTGATTTCCCGGAATTTCTGTTTGATTACTTTGATTCGCGGCTTAATCAATTTAATTAGCGGTTTGATTTCTCGGAATTTCCTCTAATTAATTTGATTCGCGGCTTATTTAATTTAATCCGCGGTCCGATTAATTTAATTCGCGGTTTGATTGATCTAATTAATTTATCGATTAATTTAAATTGATCGTATAATCAAGAATAATTACACATATGTAATAATTACACACACAGGTAACTCTAATTGAAAACAAAATGGCGGAAAAATAAAATGGCCGCCAAAGGCGGGAAATTTGAAATTTTTTCTATCTTTCTCTCTTACTCACTGCGTCTATCTCTCTCTTACTCATTGCGTCCATCTTTTACCTATTCTGAAATAGAAGTTAGAAAATGAACAAGTTTTAATTATGTTTATTATGGTGCAACAATTAACAAAAAAAAAACATTACAATCAAAAATTAAGCGCAAATTACAATTTAAAATATACAATACAAACCCGTTTCCACACCACCCAGGAGGTAGAGTTAAGGCGCGTTTTTTTTAACGTGGTGTTCCCCTGTAGGCCTAATCCACGGAACGTATTTACAAACTTAAAAAACTAGATCTGTACAAACTAAAATTGATTAGGATAAATTAAAAAGTTTATTAAATAATTGAACTAGGGCCTCCACGCGTGAGCCACTGAGCTCCGGCCACATATCGATCACTGCCGTGAACTGTTGCACTGAATTGTTTATTGTGCGGTTCATAAGATCAAGCGCTTCTTCTTCCTCCGTAGGTGAGGACACGTCCATCTCCCTCAGGACGTTTATTGCGTCCGTTATACAATTCATAGCGGTCTCGCACAGCCTTATATAATTACACAGGTCTTCCGAGAGTGTATAAATTTTTGCCTTCATATCGTTGTAGATAAGTCTTTTGCTCACTATAACGGTTTCCACTGTGCGTGGTAGCTCCGTGAGAGCTATATTGTCACGGAGTACCACTAACTCACACATGTTGCATAATGTTGAGCTTTCCGGTGTGGGGTTAAAAGCACTCAACTTAGCCAGGAACACCAAACACCCCGTGACGTCGATCTCGCGGATCTCGCGGTACATACTCTCCAGATTCTGCACAATCGCGTCACGAAGAACCTCCATGGCGAACGCACGAAAATAACCAACAAATTTTTATTTTTCGTGGCTTATAAGGGTTTAGCCAGACATAATTTCGGGAAATGCAAATGAGAGTCATGTACATTAACGGCCCTATATTGTACAGTTTGTTTACTTTTTCTTAAATCGTACAATTTTTGAATACAAAATTAATGAAAAATAAGCAAAACATTTTGAAGACCCTGGATTATCTGCATTTTGAGGCGCCAAGACTACCTGTTTTCTACGAATTCCTCATGGATACTGTTGTTATTTGTTCCTGCTACCCTTTTGTTAAAGATGACAACGGCGCCCGTTCAGTATTGTTTACTTACCGCAGTCTCTTTTAATTGTTTCTCATATTTTTAATGCCGTTAAATGAAAATGCGGAAATACATTTAGGCTTTTATTGATCAATTAGATTAATGTTATAAAAAGTCATATTATACAATAAATCAATTATATCATCGTTACATTCTAAATTATTATTAAACATATCTACAAATTCCTTAAGTGATAAATTATTAAACTTAAAAACTAAATACATTAAACAATATTGTCCACAATAAGTTGATAAAGGATGCTGCAGCACTCGCGAATTAAAGGTGAATTTCCGGGCGTGTTTTTTCAAAAATTTTAAATGTAATCCATCAGGTGGACGTCCGAATGAATCGAAATATTCTCCATTTCCATCTTCATCTATGTAAATTCCGTTCCAGTGTTGCCCTGTGCGTGTTGAAACATCTGTATTGACAATTGCAGCAAATGGCCGACGTACACTTGCTCGTATAAGTTCATCTGATGCGAAAACAGCACGCGCAGCCTTCTTCTGAATCAGATTCAACGCTCGTTGAAGTTCTAGGGTATTCATTTGTTGAATCAATTTGCGCCCACTCGTGTAATATTAATGCATTTTCTTGAGCGCACATAAGCGTGTTCTCCGCATGATTGAGACACCTTACACCGCTATGACTTTTCTTTAACTTCTTTAGCGAAGGGCAACCCACGTCTTCTAAATTAATTACAAACTTGTCAAGGAAATTTAACAAGTACTGTTTCTCCACGCCCTTTACGTATATTCTATTAAACGGTTGCAGTAACGTACGTAGTTCTTCTTCAAGGTCCTCGTATCTAATGTACCCGGAATTCCATTTCAAGCCATGATAACAGTCTTCCAAGAATTTGATTTCTTTTTTCATCGATGAGGTTACAGTATAATTGGCGGGCGGCTTCATCAGTAGAGTTGTGCAACTAGGCCCCTCCGACGAAACGATAGATATTTCTTTCGGAATGAATTCCTTTAAGCTTCCGCGGAATCCTTGAAAATCAACGTAGGCATCCATCACATGAAACATTTTCTAATAAACTGAGGATCCGTAATAAAGTATTATAATTTTATCCCTTCTGTCATGCGCTGCGCAGTAGCTTTTTTTCCAACACAGGGGAAATGATGTAATCAAGTTGATGAATGCGTCTTTGGAAACGTGCGGCATCTCTTGCGTACTGCATCCAAGGTCCTTTTCTAGCTTGATGATGAGCATGTGGCCATGCAATTATGTGACGCACTGTATTCCGGGACTCGTCAAAAGAAACTTTTTTAAATGTTAAAGTCTGCGATGACATTTCGATGTTTATCAATTTCAATAACGTTGTCAAATTCTGCGTACACGAGACAATTCACCGTCTCAGTCAGAGCGTCTTGGAAACCAACTTCGATACGAAGAGAACCGTTCTTTACCAAGTTCCAATGAGTTGTGGCGTTTGCGGATAAATCCGGCGTTAAATCGAAAGTCATTAGGCAGTATCCGTGCGGATAGTCTAAACGTGATACGTTATTTCCTTCGTTCAAAAAATGTATTCCAGTTCCAGAAAATAAAGTGTGGTAGGCCCTTACGTATAATCCTTCTTGAGTGAAATCTGGTTGTAACGGTTTTGATGGAATTTGCTGCCCATCAATGTACAGAGACATATAATTAATCTTGTAATGATGAAAGTTGAAGGGATTGGAAGCGTATTCTCCGTTAAACGCTCTATTCGACACAAAACCAATTATGCAGCGTTTTGGTAGTTGTCCAAGGAAGACATTATCCAACGATTTGCGTTGCACACCTGCGGGAATCGTTAGCACCTTCACATCCGATCTAGTAATAGGGTATTTGGCTGCAGTGGTTTCTAATGCTTTTGTGTGCGCAAGAAGAACTACAGGATTAATCTTCATTCTTCTAACCAGTAAACTGGCATCCACAATTTTCACTTTGTATGTTGAACCAGTAGCAGCCATTAAACTAAAGGTGTCTCTTGTTCGAACAAATTTTACTTTCATTTCAACTCCATTCATGAGAAACTTTTCTTGATTAAATAAGTCCGCGTGCACATGACCAACCATTTCCACCATTTTACCGAGCTTTGTGGTATTTTGACGAATAGCGAAACCTTTGTTATCAGCTGTTAATGTATCCATTTGCTTTGGAGTATCGTTATGCCATAAGGAACACCCCAGATGAGTTGTTTTAGCTTCAGAGCCATAATTTAACAGAGTTTCAATGTATGCACGATACGCATAAGTATTGCTTGGTGGTGACACTAATTTCTGATTCAAGCATACTTCCACTTGACTATACAATGTATGCAGCCAATTGTTAACAGGAGCTACCACATCGTCAGCACCCAAGTGCGTGTCATCTTGTTTTACAATTTTCGCCGTAACGTAGAGCATTGTGTGACTTAGATCGAGGTAATCATTTCCATTTCCGGGGACTACGAATTCAATCGGTGCGTCATCTGATAATGAGGATAAAGGTTTGTAAAACACCCATTCCCCACCTTCGATACTGGTTTGTGTTGCAGGAAGTGCAAACAGATCCAACTCAGATTTGATGCATTCACATGACTGTGCGTGAAGGAATGCCATTCTTTGAGAAAATGTCACTGAATGTTGGTTTGACAACTTTGCGTTTAGGTTTAGGAGCTTTTTTCGGACGTGTAGTTTTCTTCTCCGTAGCAATTTTGAACTGACCGTAATCGATCATGTGTGGTCTTTTATAACCAGATCCGCGCATTAATGTATCAATTTTGTCATCGGCTTTTCGTTTAAGGTTTCTTCCTGCTTCCTGAACTCGTTCTTGAAACGCTGCTTTAATTGGTTTCTCCTCAATTATGTCACCTAGTACATTTGCACCAGTTCTTAAAGCTTCTTTTCCCACAGCTCGCATTCCCGATTTAAACAAAGGTAATATGGAACGAAACACTCCGCCCAGCCAGCTTCCTATTCCATGACCTCTTTGGTACGGCGAACCTCTATAAATCGTACCGATACCCGAGCCCGCTTGATTTACGTAGTATTGTTGATATGGGCAGTCCATTTCTTAAAATGAAGCTTTAAACTCAATGTTCCAAACTCGAATGGCATAGGAGCGCCTGTATCCGTCCTTATATGTATTTCGATATTTTCAAACTCTTTCGTCATCACGGGCATATAGTGTGACGGTGAAAACACTACATCTTTATGACTTCCATAAATGTAATTTTCGGCGGTAATGTTAACTATTCTCATTAGTGGTGATAACACATCTCCTACGATTTGCGGCTCCACAATATCACAATAAATGAACATCTGTGAGGGCACGCCTGACCAAATACTTGCAGGATGCGGGGGTATGGAATCGCGTACTACATTCTGTTCTGGACGATACCCAAGCTGTAAAGCTAACCTTTGGGAAAATCCCAGTACGGAGAGAGGCGTCCTAAATGCGATCGCCACACGTTTTGTGATCTTGTAATATTTGATTGTGATTAACTTTCCTAAATTTTCGTGATTGTTTATTTCTTTAAGAATATCTTCAATGTTTTCATAATTACCAGCATCAAGTTTGATCACGTACCAACCGCCGTTTTTATACATAGACGTTCCGAGATTATTACGGAAAAATGTCGCTGCACTTTCTAAAACTTTATTTAACGGAAAATCTGTTATTGGCGCATCTCTGTAGTAAATTAAATTGTCAGTTTCATTGACGCAAACGCACAAGGATATTGTATTTCGGCTATCCCGACGGACCAATTACCACTTAATCTTATACGCTTTGGCAACTGTGTAACAAAGTGTGAAGTTGTATTGTTGGGAAAATAATCGAGCGAACTATTGCTTAACAGGGTAATGTAGAATTCTTCTTCCATTTTTATATGTTTTTGAGTTCTGCCGCAGAAATCCAAGAATTGAATTTGTCACTATAACCTCGCCACTTCACTAAATATTTTTTGTTTTTTCCTCTCCCTTTTTCTTCCAAAATCTCGTCAATTTTAAATACTGTATCTTCGTCTATCGTAACAGCCTGCAGTTCTTCCTCATAAAAAGTCCCTTCTATATCTTCACCGCTTAAATCCACTATTCTGTACACAGGCGGACGTCTCTTTATAACTTTAATAATTTTAAACACCTCTTGACTAAAGTTACTCTCATATCCCTTTTCAAAATGATATTTGGTTCTGGTGATTCTCACGTGTTGTCCCACTTTATATATAGGTCGAGTTTCTTTACCAAAACCCTTCGCGTAGAGGTTCTGCCAAACTTTCAAAATGTTTTCTTCGTTCACATCATCAGGCGCCATCTTGATCGAAGAATGATAGGATTTGTTATATGCAGACACCAAATCTTGTAGAACGTCCACGTATTTGAATGTGTTCTTATATGTAAAGTAGCGGTGCATTTTCGTCTTTAATGTGCGATTCAGCCGTTCGATTATGCAAGCTTTTACGTCGGGATTATGGGTTACATAATAATTTATATTGTATTTTTTAAAAAATTGTTGTACGCTTGCTGCCACAAACTCTTTTCCTTTATCAGTTTGTATATTTTCAGGTGTATTGTCACATTCTTCAAAAATGGACGAAAACGCCTCAATTATAGAATTTGCGGTTTTTTGCTTGAGAGGTCTTGCCCATGCTTTCTTACTGAATACGTCAATGACCGTTAATATGTAATTATAGCCTCTGTTGTTTTTCGCTAGGCTTCTCATATCACAAAGATCGGCTTGCCATAATTCAAACATGTTGTTAACTATGTATTTGTTGCGTTGAAATTTTCTTTTAACGGGCTTGTGCACAGTATATGCTTCTTGTTTTTGTAACCATGCTTTTACATCCTCAGTTGAATATCTATTTTTTAACGCTGAAGACAAGGAGGAAACTCCACCGAATCCGGCAGGATGTGAAGGATCATAATATATGCTTTCCATCTACTTAAAGTTTAAAGGTTTTCCATCCGGGAATATGCAATCGTTTAGAAGTATTCCATCCACCTCGCTGTAGCCCACCAGAACTTTTGGAACGTTTTCTCGTATCCGGTTGCTTAAGTGCACTTCTCGTCCGTTTTGCGGTAACGTCTTGAACAGGGTTCACAGTAATTTTTGGACGTTTCGAAATAATGTCTTCGGTTTTTACAACACTTTGTTTTTTGCCAATAAATTCTTGAGGAACATTAATTTCTTTGACGAATTCTGCAAACTGTCGGCCACCTTCTGGATTTGTTGATTGACGCGGTCTTACTGTGTCGTGTATTAAGTCAATAATATTCGATGACGGGATTACTTCGCCTTTTATTGTGACAATTCCTCTATTGTCCCATAAAATATCACCCGAAGCGTTGAGTATTCGTAGAAAACTTTCGGCTTTTTTCTTAAAAGTTTGTGGAATTGAGGCTATTATTTCATCTTCTGATATTCCTGTAGGCTTCGATTCAATTGCTATGCTTACAGGTTTTCGCATTTGTTCCGAAAAATGTAAATATTTCTGTAAAACTTGAGAATACTGTTGCCACTTTTCATATGAAGACAACTTAGAATTTAATACTTGTGACATTTCGTCATCAATTTGCGATAAAACATCGTCTTTCCTAGTTTCATTTGCTTTAATTCGCTGCATAAATTCCTGCGGTACGAGTAACATTTTCTTTGCGTGTTCCATGATTATTGAAAAAGACTTCCGAGTAAGCCGCCAAGTAACGGCCCTAGCACAAATGGCAAGAATGCACCTCCGTTTTGAATTAGTATCTGTTTCTTCTTTTTTATCTTTTCACGGGGCGTTACCATACGCCGTAAGATGGTTTTATGACGAGCGAGACTTCGCTTCTGATCAGCGGTCAAATCGACTTGTCCTTTTAAAGTGTTGTAAATACACTCACATATGCATTCAATTTGATTGTCGTCCAAACATTTTATCAACGCTAACCGCTCCTTTGGTCCCAATTTTGAGAGAGCACGAAGCAACTCGGAATGTTTCGTCAACTTTGAAACCATTATGAATGTACCAATTGCTCAAGATTCAAACCTTTAATACCCTTTTTTGGTATATATACCACACAAGCGCCATCTTCTTCAAATATCGATGTTCTATAGCGGAAAACATCCGGTGTACTTTGTTTTAAATCGAATAACAGATATCCGTGGGGTTTAGACGTTGCATCATTATACGCTTCTTCTAAAAATTTGGAGTTTTCAGGGCAAATTTGCCGCGTTAAATGCTTTATTTGTGCCCGATCTCGGGGATTTTTGAATAAAATAATGTAGTGTGCATTTAAAGATATATCTCTCTGTCCTTTTCCTTGATGAAATATGTTTTGGGTTAGAAAGAAAACACTGAGGTTACGATGATGACATCCTTTTGTAAAAAATGTCAACAATAGCTCCATTTGATTCACGCATTAAATCATCAATAATTATCAGTACAGGTTTTAAGCCATCGAAACTGGACATATCGGGTAAGCCTTGATGGAATTCAACACCTTTTAGATCTTCGTACAATGACTGCCATTCCCCGTAATGCCAAACTATTTTTTCAAACAGTACAGAGCAGATGTTTGTTATATTTTTTAGAAAGTTTACAATAAAATAACTCTTTCCCGACCCGCTTGGGCCACTTACAAGAGCGGAAAATGGATGAAGAAATTTATTTTCCATTGTAATGTCTCGAAGTATAACACCAAACTGATTAAAAGAATGTAGAACTTACATTTATATTTATTTACATTTATTTGTACAAGAACCTATCATCATAAGTTTGCATATAATCCTCTATCTTATCAATCACAAAATACGGATACTTATGGACTAACTCATGTATAACTAAAGGTTCAGTAGTTAAATTTGTTAGCAAATCGTTATAACTCACATCTTTTTGCTGACGTCTATCCAGAATGTCCACAACTTTTTCTACAAAGTTTTTGAAAGGACAATCATTACCTTCCAAATAATTACCCAAATAATTAAGCTTCTGACGTAAGTAGTCTGCCATAGCGATCACTTTTTCCAGGGTGACGAGTCCCAAGTACAGTTCACAGTGGATTTCTTTCTTCGAAATGATACGCGCAGCTTTATATTTTCTGCAGCACCGTACATGAAAATCTTCTAGATCGAAAGTTTCATCTTCTTCCTCGCGCTTTACTGCTCCGACGATGTCTTCTAATTCGCTTAAAAAACTCTCGAAGGCACTCTTTGAAAAATATATGCTCCGATCCTTGCCTTGTATCTTGACACAGGGGCAATCTTCAAATACGTCTAGACCCACTTTCAGGATTTTGGATCCACTATTATTTAGATTAAATGTCGACTCACTGAGTAATTGCTGTCGTTCTTTATCCATAAACTTGTTATGTATGCGCTTACGGTCTTGTGTTGATAAACAGAAATCTTCGTGTCTGGGCACTGGATTATTGTAAGATGAGATGTTGTATTCCTTCATAACTTCCCTGTCGAATGCTCGGTGATCATCCTCTGTGTAGCAGAATTCTGGCGATGATGCAATAGGCTTGTAGTAATTGAGTGTCGTCGACAACTTTTCAGCAGTACGAGGATCTCTGGGGTTTGTTGATGGACGAGAATAAGGTTTGCTGTACGAAAACATAATCTGTAACGAAATGTAAAATTAGAAAACAATTGCAACAATTTAATTACCAATTAGAAAACAATTGCAACAATTTAATTACCAATTATATCAAAAAACAGAGGCGATTGAACTTACTTGTAACTTTGAACTAGTACACTGACACAATATCACGTTGAACACTGAACTGAACACAAATGAGAACGAGTCGCAACCTCACCAGCTTTATAAACACCGCGTAACTGTAAATCTAATACGTCACTATAATCGCGAATTAAATTAAAAAGATGAGTCATAGTTGTGCAGGTGACGATGAGTCATGACGAGAACAAAAGAAAATGATTGATGTGGTGCCATAAAGACGACCACAAACACAAAAGATGTGGTTATTCATGCGGCAAACAGGTTTAGCGAGGTATGAGTCATACTTGTGCAGGTGTCCTGAACAAAAAGAAAGCACTTATCCGCTCAACGTGAACTAAATGCCGTTCCATGTAACCGGAAGTAGAAACAAAAGAAATGATTGACGTGGTGCCATAAAGACGACCACAAGAACAAAAGATGTGGTTATTCATGCGGCAAACAGGTTTAGCGAGTTAAGAGTCATACTTGTGCAGGTGTCCTGAACAAAAAGAAAGCACTTATCCGCTCAACGTGAACTAAGTGCCTTTCCATGTAACCGGAAGTAGAAACAAAAGAAATTATTGACGTGGCGCCATAAAGGCGGCCCCAAGCACAAAAGATGTGGCTATTCACGCGGAAAACAGGTTTAGCGGGTTATGAGTCATGCATTTTAAACAATAGATCATGTTTAATCAAGCGGAAAACCGGTTTTAGAACAATAGAGCGTTCGGTAATGTTCGGAAGGGATCGGATTCTATTTTACCTGCTCTGATATAAAAATCTTATTTTCGGGGACTCGGAATTACTTGCGTTTTTACATTTGTACGTGCGTATTTTTCGAGTTTTTACGTGATCTTTGTGTTTGTGCTTGTGTGTATTTTAACTTACATCATGTCGACGAACAACCATAACATTCAATTGCCGTTTCCGATACCTAGCTACGATCTGTAAGTACAAAACTTATTGTAAAATATTTACCATTTAACAGCTGTTTATTTGAAGGAGTGACACCGATTCTGAAGATGAAGACATCTTCGATCGTCAGACGGTGGTAATCGACATTAATGATCGAAACGAAGATTTGGAGCTTGAAATCCCCAATGGATTTTTTACTGAAGAGCGGGAAGAGTGATGTAATATGTACAAAGCGAATAATAGTACATTGCAAATAAACGTAATGAAAAACTTATTTTATACACATTTCATGTCCAGCTCCTATTTTAGAATGTGAACTTTTTTTTCGATTTCATATTTCATGCCAACTTTTTCAAGGTCACTTTTTTTTGGAGTGTCACGTTTCATTTTCAAGGTCAGCTCGGTTTTTGGCTCAAATTTCATTTGGTGTCAAATTACATTTTGAAGGTTAACTTTTTTTCGGGCTCATATTTCATTCCCAACGGAAATGGAAATGATTACCTAGATCTAAGTCACACAATGCTCTACGTTACGGCGAAAATTGTAAAACAAGATGACACGCACTTGGGTGCTGACGATGTGGTAGCTCCTGTTAACAATTGGCTGCATACATTGTATAGTCAAGTGGAAGTATGCTTGAATCAGAAATTAGTGTCACCACCAAGCAATACTTATGCGTATCGTGCATACATTGAAACTCTGTTAAATTATGGCTCTGAAGCTAAAACAACTCATCTGGGGTGTTCCTTATGGCATAACGATACTCCAAAGCAAATGGATACATTAACAGCTGATAACAAAGGTTTCGCTATTCGTCAAAATACCACAAAGCTCGGTAAAATGGTGGAAATGGTTGGTCATGTGCACGCGGACTTATTTAATCAAGAAAAGTTTCTCATGAATGGAGTTGAAATGAAAGTAAAATTTGTTCGAACAAGAGACACCTTTAGTTTAATGGCTGCTACTGGTTCAACATACAAAGTGAAAATTGTGGATGCCAGTTTACTGGTTAGAAGAATGAAGATTAATCCTGTAGTTCTTCTTGCGCACACAAAAGCATTAGAAACCACTGCAGCCAAATATCCTATTACTAGATCGGATGTGAAGGTGCTAACGATTCCCGCAGGTGTGCAACGCAAATCATTGGATAATGTCTTCCTTGGACAACTACCAAAACGCTGCATAATTGGTTTTGTGTCGAATAGAGCGTTTAACGGAGAATACGCTTCCAATCCCTTCAACTTTCATCATTACAAGATTAATTATATGTCTCTGTACATTGATGGGCAGCAAATTCCATCAAAACCGTTACAACCAGATTTCACTCAAGAAGGATTATACGTAAGGGCCTACCACACTTTATTTTCTGGAACTGGAATACATTTTTTGAACGAAGGAAATAACGTATCACGTTTAGACTATCCGCACGGATACTGCCTAATGACTTTCGATTTAACGCCGGATTTATCCGCAAACGCCACAACTCATTGGAACTTGGTAAAGAACGGTTCTCTTCGTATCGAAGTTGGTTTCCAAGACGCTCTGACTGAGACGGTGAATTGTCTCGTGTACGCAGAATTTGACAACGTTATTGAAATTGATAAACATCGAAATGTCATCGCAGACTTTAACATTTAAAAAAGTTTCTTTTGACGAGTCCCGGAATACAGTGCGTCACATAATTGCATGGCCACATGCTCATCATCAAGCTAGAAAAGGACCTTGGATGCAGTACGCAAGAGATGCCGCACGTTTCCAAAGACGCATTCATCAACTTGATTACATCATTTCCCCTGTGTTGGAAAAAAAGCTACTGCGCAGCGCATGACAGAAGGGATAAAATTATAATACTTTATTACGGATCCTCAGTTTATTAGAAAATGTTTCATGTGATGGATGCCTACGTTGATTTTCAAGGATTCCGCGGAAGCTTAAAGGAATTCATTCCGAAAGAAATATCTATCGTTTCGTCGGAGGGGCCCAGTTGCACAACTTTACTTATGAAGCCGCCCGCCAATTATACTGTAACCTCATCGATGAAAAAAGAAATCAAATTCTTAGAAGACTGTTATCATGGCTTGAAATGGAATTCCGGGTACATTAGATACGAGGACCTTGAAGAAGAACTACGTACGTTACTTCAGCCCTTCAATAGAATATACGTAAAAGGAGTGGAGAAGCAATACCTACTGAATTTCCTTGACAAGTTTGTAATTAATTTAGAAGACGTGGGATGCCCTTCGCTAAAGAAGTTAAAGAAAAGTCATAGCGGTGTAAGGTGCCTCAATCATGCGGAGAACACGCTTATGTGCGCTCAAGAAAATGCCTTAATATTACACGAGTGGGCACAAATTGATTCAACAAATGAATACCCTAGAACTTCAACGAGCGTTGAATCTGATTCAGAAGAAGGCTGCGCGTGCTGTTTTCGCATCAGATGAACTTATACGAGCAAGTGTACGTCGGCCATTTGCTGCAATTGTCAATACAGATGTTTCAACACGCACAGGGCAACACTGGAACGGAATTTACATAGATGAAGATGGAAATGGAGAATATTTCGATTCATTCGGACGACCACCTACCGGATTACATTTAAAATTTTTGAAAAAACACGCCCGGAAATTCACCTTTAATTCGCGCGTGTTGCAGCATCCTTTATCAACTTATTGTGGACAATATTGTTTAATGTATTTAGTTTTTAAGTTTAATAATTTATCACTTAAGGAATTTGTAGATATGTTTAATAATGATTTAGAATGTAACGATGATATAATTGATTTATTGTATAATATGACTTTTTATAAGGTGAATCTAATTGATTAATAAAAGTCTAAATGTATTTCCGCATTTTCATTTAACGGCATTAAAAATATGAGAAACAATTAAAAGAGACTGCGGTAAGTAAACAATACTGATTGTTATAAAACGTCGCCATCGTCATCTTTAACAAAAGGGTAGCAGAAACAATTAACCCAGAACCTGTACCGCATTCATAGAAAACAGGTAATCCTAGCGTCCCAATGCTTATTTTTCATTAATTTTGTATTCAAAAATTGTACGATTTAAGAAAAGTAAACAAATAGTACAATATAGGTTCATCAATGCACGCGTGTTCGAGGCTTAAGGTAACTGGTGAGGTTCCACAAAATCGGTCAGTAACCCTTTATGTCTTAAGTACCTACGAATTTCTGAAAATCGTAACCTGTTTTTAAAAAAAATGGGGGTGGATATTCTATTTAAGGGTTGAAATGCATTTCGTTATGTTAAAACGTTTTGTGTAATATCTGTGAGTGCGTTTTCTATTAAATTGAAATGGAGGCTGAACAAGAAGTGCGAAATCACCTCGCTGCCCTCGGGGAACTAGCTGTTCGCGTTGAGTGTGTAACAGCGAACGAAATTTTGTTAAATTTGACGGTAACGGTAGCATACCTGAACGCTGACAGGATTGTCCTTTACAACAATATCATCACGCGGATCGAAGCAATACAGATATTAATCGAATGGTTTACTGACAGTCCGCTAGATCCCGATAACGACTTTCCTAGGTTAGCAACTCACGCCCTGGATATGCTTGAAGCTTTTATTAATACCGCTAATCAACTGATAAGCGATTACGAAAATATTCAACGTCGCAGCGATCAACTTAGAAGGTGGTACGACGCGTAGAGTTGCATAACAAGGTTATAGTTCGTGCCGAGGCTGTCCAGCAACTAGTTGCGTGGGCTGATGACAACCCTCTGAATGGAGCCGCCGATTACCCACAATTAGCTGTTCACTCCAGTGCTATTTTGGAGCTTTGTAGTGATAGTGTACGGGACTTAGTAAACAAATACGATGTCCTTCATGTGCGTGTTGGTGAGGTAACCGGTAGATACAATCACATTTTTTAAAATAGCTAAGTTAAGGTAGGTTAGTTTGTAAATATTAGTTTTAAGTTAGATTAGATTGTACATATTAGTTTTAAGTTAGTTTTTAGTGTGTACATATTTAGTTTTTAAGCTTGTACATATGTTCTGTGGATTTAGGCATTGTTGCAATAAATATAGGTAATTAAAACATGTTTGCTTATTTCTAGCTTCTATTTCAGAAAAGTGAAGTGAACTAAGTGCAATGTGTAAGACAGAGATAAACGCATTGAGTAAGAGAGAGAGAGAGAGAGAGAGAGGATAGAGATAGAGAAAAATTTGAATTTCCCGCCTTTGGCGACCATTTTGTCTTTAATTTTAGGATAATTACATGTGTGTAATTACTCATTACATATGTGCAATTATTTACTACATATGTGTAATTAGCTTCTTTATTATGCCTTCTAATTAAATTAATTAGATCAATCAAACCGCGAATTAAATTAATCGAAGGAAATTCCAGGAAATCAAACCGCGAATTAAATTAATTAGAACAAATTCCAAGAAATCAAACCGCGAATTAAATTAATCAAACTGCGAATTAAATTAATCAAACCGCGAATTAAATTAATCAAACCGCGAATTAAATTAATTAAGCCACCGAATAAATTAATCGATCAAATCAAATGTCAATAAAGACCAAAATCCCACAATTTTTAATTAATTAACCAAATCAAAGTCCAAATTCCACGAAATCAACCAAAAACACCCCCGGCCACGTGGACGGCCCCCACCAATCAATTTAATTGACCTTGATTGACCCCGGGAATAAAATCCAAGATGGCGCCGGAAGTGTCGTGGTTCTACTTATAGTAAATAGAGCCACTATTAGGTGGAGCTTGAATTACAATATGCTTCCCGTCAATACAACCTGCACAATTGGGTAACTGCCACTGATTGTAAAAGTTTGATGCTATTTTTGAGAATTGTTTGCGATCAGGGCATTTCAAATATGTCGGTGACAAAACTTGCCATATAGCGTTGCATGTTTCTTTAATAATTACACATACAGTGGGAACACTTAACCGAAAGGCGTATGCCAAAGTGGGATATGAATCCCCTGTTGCTAAAAACCGCAAAGTTACGGCTAACCTACATCCTGCAGATATCGATTCTCGTCTGGAATGTTTAGTAATGATAGGCGAAATTCTTTGGAGTAATCTATCGAACGAAGTAGTTGACATTCTAGTAAAGTTGAAAAACATCGCCTCGTCCCCAGTGTACATTTCTTGAAAAAGATTTTCATAGTGGCCTTGCTGTTTTTTTTTGTAGAACAGGATGAACCCAATAACGCCGCCGTCTTCGGTGCAGAAGGGACCTCACTTTTAATAGAGCGCAAGAAACAGTACATAGCATAATTACATCAAGAAATTCTTGCTCCATTTTAAAATGTTACAAATTTATTCAAAATTGAGGTTACACATGGAATACGTGAAAGTGCGCAGTGCGCATGACTCCTGTCAATTCAACTTTCAAGTCGCCGTGGAAGTTTGCAGTTTGCAAGCTTTGGCGGTGAAGTCGAACTTGAATTGTACGTAACGTCGAAGTGTAATTTTGATGTAAACTGTTGCATGGAGACTCATTTGCTTAACACGAAATTTGAAATTGGATTTGTGCGTTTAGTCAACTTTGAATTGGTTGTAAATGAGCCTTTACGAGCCTGTGCCTTCATGAAGGCCTCCATCAGAGCAGACTGTTCGCCAGTGCCGTTTTTTAAGACAATAAATTGTTCGGTTCAAGAAGTAAGTCCAGACCAGAAAATAGAAATTATCTGTGCCTACCGAATATACTTTTTTCAATAATCTTTATTTGGTTTCAAAAATTCAAAACAAAATAAAATCGAATACTACGAGTAAATAAGTAAACAGTATAAAAATTAAAAAAATTAAAAAAAGTTATATACTTACACAAATTAAATTCGAACACCTCTTCTTGCTTCAAAGACATAAATTCTTTCACTACTGCTTCTAAATCTAAACTATCCAAGGTATTCCTTTCTACAGAAAGTAGTGTCAAATTGGAAGTTCTTTGTGATGTGATAGAACCTCAAGGGGTTTTTAAATCTTCGCAATACACTAAAACTTCTTTCTGCACTAGCAATTCCAATTGGTAAGGTAACAAATAATTTGAATAACATTTCCAAGTTAGGAAACACATCCCAGATTATGCTGATTTGCCAAATATTCGAGATATCATAGTACTCCGCGAACGGCGCGATCACAGCCAGTACTAGTTTGAGCAAAATATATATCTCTGAATTGCACTAATTCGTCAAATATGGAAGGCGATAGAAATTCAAATTTTTCACTTAATTGTGACGCCTTTTCCTGCAACTCATTAAGTGCACAGTCCTTAAAACGGTGTGGATGTAAGAAGCCAAAATATTCTGTAACTTCCTGTAGTCCATGTATACGCTCTTTGAGTTCGGCTATCATACCGTCAATAGTTACAAACATCACTTGCACCTTAAATCGTATCGCTGAATCCTGAATTGGTTCATCTTGTGCTAATTCTCCAGCCATTTGCTTCCTTTTCCGTCGGTCCGGGGCCCGTCGGTGCAACGCTGCGACTGGACCTATGTTAAAAACGGCACTGCTGTTGGCGCCCCATCTCCTTCAACTGTAGGAACTCAACCTCGAGGGAACTCATCTCATACACCTGACCTTCCTCGGACGCAACTGACCGTGATGGGGATTCCATCGTATGGTACCTAGAAGCACGAACACGATAGTATGTTTGCAGAAAGTAAACACAAAATTAATCCGTTTTAAAAAATTGGGATGGTATTTCAATAATTAAAGTTATGTATCTGTCGGATACACCCGCGACCATTTTTGTTGCGCCAGCAACCGCGACTGCTCGAACGTTAATCAAAGTGGGTAAATATTCTTGATTTTTATGCAGCCATAACTTCTCATGCTGAACAACATTTCGTCGTATTATTAACAAAAAGTGCACTTTACCTTGAAAAGAGCATAGTTTTTGCTTCAATGTCAAGGCCGCTTTGATTTTTAATGACTCAAAATATTCTTAAAATTCTAGTAACACCAAGCAGGGCTTATTCCCACATTCTTAAAATAAAATTCAAAAATTTTTAGTACATCACACTTCTTGTAACATAAATCCAGGGTTACACTGTATATAACTATCTACAGGCTGCATGAAAATAGCGTCTTCAAGCCAAAAAGTATAATCATGCTCATTTAGAAAGTCAGAAATTACAATGTAATCTGTTTTGCTCTTCTAAACGATTGTTGATGTTTTCGTTTATAATTTGTACTGCAGATTTTTTAGAAAACGTTAATTTCTTCTAATGGCACACAATTATCTGCATCCCCTTCACGTACTTCTGCATGAATCAATATTTTTTTGTATGGTGTAGTATATTACCTGCAAGTTGGGCTGTTATTCTATCCTCCTTGAGATCGGATGGTCCTAAAAAATAATTCTATATGGGCTTGATTTAATTTATATGATGGAATAAATTTTTAAAATGTGTTTTTTTTACAATGTATTAAATCGCCATTAATAATCCTATGACACCTGTTTTTCTTGCCGAGTCTAATAACTACTAATTTTTGAACAATAACGTAACATTATTTATAGTATTAGGATTTGCAGCCTATCCAAAGTCGATCATTTAATGCGAATTTAAATCAGAAGCATTATTTATTAACAATATAAATTCGGCAGTTGGAGCAGTTTTTTAAGTCTTTTAAGCAGAATTACTTTCATTTTTTGTTTGAAGAAATTTATATGCTTTACGTAATTATATTACGTGTCCATTTAAGACAATTAATTTAATTTTATTATAAAATTAAATCGACTAGGTTTCCACTCTTATTTGTTTGGAAAAGAAGAAGAAGAAGAACATAAAGGACGCGGCTTTCCACTCATCCGCGACGTTATTTGGCACATAGCATACAAGTTTGCC